TACCCAGCTATGTGATAATTTTTTGGAGCTACAGGAGGCCGCTAGGCGGTGTGAACTTGAGATTGAGTTACAACTGAGAGAGCAGAGGCAAGCCTCGACACAGTTACAGTCGGTGCAAAAGCGGTCCAAGACCGTTGATTCTAGGTCTGGAGGTTAGCGCGGGCGCACTTGTGGAAAGTGCGAGAAGGCTCATTCGGGGGTTTGTTGATCTGGTAGTGGGTGCCACAAATATGGCAAGGAGGGGCACTATACGAGGGATTATCGCCAGCCTGCCCCTGTAACGGGAGTGAGGATATGTTACCGTTGTGATCAGGTTGGCCACATGAAGGCCAACTGTCCGTTGCTCGCCGCCAAGTCGACGCAGGCTCCCACACCAGCTACACTGAGGATTACTGACAAGGGTCGGGGTACAGTAGAGCCTCCGAAAGCTCAGGGACGTGCCTTCCAGATTACAGCTGAAGAGGCCAGGGCAGCACCAGATGTGGTTGCTGGTATGTTTCTAACTTTCATCTCATTGATTATATTTGTTTGATGCTTATATGTTTTGTACCATGTTAGGTACATTCTTAGTGAACACCTTACTTGCTTTGGTATTATTTGACTCGGGGGAAAGTCGGTCGTTTGTCTCTCAGTCATTCAGTAGGCAGTTCGGTTCGCCAGTAGGAGAGCTAGAGTGTCTGTTGCGAGTCTCTATGGCCAACGAATACAGGGTTTCCGCTTCTTCAGTCTATCGGGGTTGCGTGTTGGAGATCTTCGAGGTATCATTTCCAATAGACTTGACTTCGATTCCCATGGGGGATGTATGTGTGATTGTGGGTATGGACTGCTTAGTCGTTTCGGTGCCATGATCAACTGTGAAGGTCAACAAGTGGTGGTTCGAACCCTAAGTGGGGGAGAACTGATTATCTATGGTGAGTGCACCAGATTGGGATCAGGGTTTTGTTCGGTTGCCAAGGCTTGATAGTACATTCAGCACAGATGTGCGGGTTATCTAGCGTATGTAATGGATACGTGGGTCAAGGATCAGACCACGGTTTCAGAGGTTCCAGTAGTCAGAGTGTTCACTGACGTGTTTCTGGAAGAGTTACTCGAAGTGCCTCTGAAGAGGCAGGTTGAATTTAGGATCAACGTAGTACCAGGTGCGGCCCCTATCGCCAAGGCACCGTACCGATTGGAACCACCAGAGATGCAGGGGCTATCATCATAGCTGCAGGAACTGCTGGGCAAGCACTTCATTCGTCTGAGCAGTTCTCCGTAGGGAACACCGATTCTCTTCATTAGGAAAAAGGATGGTTCACACCGGATGTGCATTGACTATCGGGAGATGAACAAGCTGACGGTGAAGAACCGTTGTCCATTCTCGAGGATAAATGATCTTTTCGATCAGTTGCAGGGAGCATCTTGGTTCTCCAAGATACGCCTGAGGTCCGGGTAACATCAAGTCAGGGTTAGAGAGGAGGACATGGAGAAGACCGCATTCCAGACTTGTTATGGGCATTATGAGTTCGTGGTGATGCTGTTTGGGCTCACCAACGCGCCGACGATGTTCATGGACCTGACGAATCAAGTCTGCAAACTGATGCTCGATCACTCGGTCATGGTGTTCATAGACGATATCTTGGTGTACTGTAAGACCTGAGAACAACATGAGGAACATATTTGGGAGCTATTGGGAGTTTTGAGGCGAGAGCGGCTTTATGCCAAGTTCTCGAAGTGCGAGTTTTGGTTACGAGAGGTTCAGTTCCTTGGACATCTTGTGAACCTGGAGGGGATTTTGGTCGATCCAACAAAGATCAAGGCGGTTATGCAGTGGGAGGTTCCAAAATCTCCCTCAGACATCAGGAGCTTCTTAGGATTGGTTGGGTACTACCGGAGATTCATACAGGATTTCTCCAAGATTGTTGTACCCCTCACTCATGTGACGAGCAAGGGGGTGGATTTCCAGTAGGGCCCTGATTAGCAGAGGGCATTTGAGACCCTCGGACAGTAACTTTATGAGGCTCCATTCTTGACTCTCCCAGAGGTAGTTGAGGATTTTGTGGTATTATGTGATGCATTTATCACCGGACTGGGAGCGATACTCATGAAGAGAGGGCGGGTGATAGCGTATGCTTCGCGGCAGCTGAAGCCGCACGAGACGAGATACCCTACTCATGATTTGGAGCTGGGAACGGTAGTATTCGCTCTCAAGATTTAGAGATACTATCTCTATGGGGTCTGCTGTACCATTTACATGGACCAAAAGAGTTTGAGACACATCATGGATCAGCTGATCCTGAACATGAGATAGCGTAGGTGGCTAGACGTAGTCAAGGAGTACGACTATGAGATCCTTTACCACCCGGGTAAAGAGAATGTTGTTACGAAGGCCCTGAGCTGCAAGTCAACGAGTTCATCTGTACTAGTGACATGTATGAGGATATCTGTGGATTCTCCGCTGGTAGGATTGATTAGGGAGTCTCGGGCTGAGGGTGTACGGCCGGAGAACTAGAAGTTGGAGAGGATTAGAGGCGAGATCACTAGATTTGTGCAGGATAATAGGGGATTATTGACCCGATGTGGTCGGGTATGGGTTCCGATGTTTGGTGGGGTCAGACAAATGGTTCTGGAGGAGGCTCATAAGTCTTACTTCTCTATTCACCCGGAGGCCATCAAGATGTATCGGGATTTGAGTTTGAGCTATTGGTGGCCATGCATGAAGCGAAAAATCTCTTGGTATGTCGAGAGGTGCTTGACCTGCAGGATGGTCAAGGCCGAGCCTCAGAGGTTGCATGGCAATCTGCAACCTTTAGAGATTCCCATGTGGAAATGGGAACAAATCACGATGGACTTCATTACCAAGTTGCCGAGGACGGCGAAGGGATTTGATGCCATATAAGTCATTGTAAGGTCGAACCTTGAAATATGATGATGTTTGAAACTGGTCTATCAGCGTCAGCGCATGACTCAACGTCAGCAACAACATCAGCATCTCAGTTGCTCAGTATATAACTTTATTCGGCACGTTGTAATAGATTTAGTATTTATCTTGTTTCTATAGTTAGCGTAGATTAGTTAGCTGGCATATCCCTGATTTGTAGGGATTGTCTAGAATAGTAGTATATATTCTTTTGTACCGGTTTGTGTTAGGTTACACATTCTTACAAACCCTAATAGCCGCTTTGTGCACACGATAATCTTTTTGTGAGATTATATTTCTTAGTGAAAAGTTTTTCTTTGTGAATCTTTATTGTTCTTATTTTCAGTCATTGTTTGATAAGTTGTTTGATCTTTGGGTCGTTCAATTGGTATCAGAGCAGTGTTCTCTTATCAAACAAATGGCTTCATCATCCTCTTCTTTAAACTCTTCAAATCCTTCTTCCACTAAAATTCCTCCGTTTGATGAAAACAATTTTGCTATGTGGAAAATCAAAGGTTTGTATGCTTTGGAATCTGTAGATGAAGACATGCTGGATATCGTCAATAATGGTCCATATGTTCCGATGTATCAGCCTCTGAAAAACAATGTTCCTGATGGTGTCATGAAGAAAACACCTAAAGAGAACTGGACATCTGATGACAAAAGAAAGAATGGGCTAGATGTTCGTGCTCGGGCAACAATCAGTTATGCTTTACCATACAATATCTTTGGGCTGGTTCAAAACTGCATATCAGCAAAAGAAATGATGGACACACTGACTGTGTCTTTTGAAGGTACTGAGGAAGTCAAGGCTACCCAGATAAATGATCTAAACAGAAGGTATGAACATTTTTTTGCTAAGAAAGGTGAAACCCTGACTCAAACCTTTAACAAATTTGATACTCTTGTTAATGATTTGCGGAGACTAGATCAGTTAAAGCATCGAACTGGTCTAGTGCAGAAGTTTTTGGATTCTTTGGGTGCAGGTTGGGAAAATCATGTTGATGTGCTGAAAAATAGTGAGAAAATCAGCACAATGGATTTACAAAGTCTTTATGGAAACCTTCGATACTATGAGGAATCAAAGCTCCAGAGAAAGGAGATGATGAAAGATGCTCAGCGTGAGTCATCAGTGGCACTGTTTTCAACCAAAAGGCAAGAATCCGAGTCAGACACTGAATCCTTTTCAAACACTGATTCTAATAAAAGTGACACTGAGGGTCTGGAAAAGGTTGTTGCTAGTGCGGCGTTCATTGTGAAGACTTTTGAGAAATCAGGCCGTAATTTCTCAAAGTTTCAGAAGAAGATGAAAGGGAAATCTTTTAAAAGGTCAGATGCTGACAAGAAACATGCTACTGAAAAGAAAGGGAAAGCTCAGTGCTTTAACTGTGGTAGCACTGACCATTTTGCAAAAGAATGCAAGAAAAGAACCTAAAGCTCAGACGAATACTGGAAGCAGAAGTACAACAAGTTGGTTGAAAAGCTGAAAGTAGAGAACTTGGAACATAAAGTTCTTGTCGCTGAAGAAGAAAAATGGAAGACTGATGAGGAGTCATCAGATGATGAAGTGAAATGTCTGATGGCTAAAACAGAAGATGCTGATGAATGTGAAGACAGCACAAGTTCATTTGATGCTGATATGTCTGATGCAGTTGAAAATTCCAGGAAGCACAACACTGATTCTCCTTCAATGTATCAGGTTAAAAACTTTGTTTCCTATTCAATGAATGAAAAAATCAAAATGTTTGAGTATTTGGGTGTTCTTAATTATAAGAAGAATCAAACAATAAGGGATTTGCAAAATCAAATTGATCTTCTTAAAACTGAATTATCCATGAAAAATAACATTATTGATTCTATTTAGGAAAATCTTAGAGTCACTAGTTGGTTTAACTCCTCTTTGTCTACTGAAATTGATAATGTTAAAGATCTCTTGAACAAAGAACAAACTGTGCTACAAATTTGGGCTAAATCTCACAAAAATGCTAATTATGTTATTTCTACTCAAATACCACACTCATGTGAGAAAATTCTTGGGGGAAATTTTTCAGAAGCTGAAAAGGTTTTTAAATCTCAAGAAAAAGAATCTGAATTTTATTCCATGAATGAGTTGAAAATTAATTTCAAAAACAAGTTTATCAGTAACACTTTTATTAATCAGAGTCTTATTGATGAATACTATGTTACTGATTCTAATGGTGTCACTGAGTGTGATATTGAAATTACCGGAATTGATCCTACCTCTTACCCTGCACATCTTGTGACACCAACTCCTCTCACTGAAAATATTATTGCTTTTCCTATCTCAAATGGAGTGTTTCATACTGTTCATGAACAACTTAAGCATTTTCCTGATTGTAATGCTTCTGTGAATAAGTCCAAATCTGATATTGATGTCAGCTCCTCATCTATCACTGATCATAATTTATCTGACGCTGAGTCCAGTTGTGATTCAATGACTAACAAAAGGACTCAAAGTTCACTTGGTGGATCTTACAAATCTAAATGTGCTAAGTCTAGATATGCTCACCAAGAAGAACTTTGGTACTAGAGTCTGTTACAGATGTAGTGACACCTCTCATAAGATCAACGAATGCTCGTTTGATAAAACATCTTTAAGAGCTGACAACATCAAAGTTAGAAATGAAAAATGGACTCTTAAGTCAAATTCTTTGAATTGTCTTCCTAAAGAGTGTTATAATTTATTATCAAATAACTTTGTGAATGACCCATTTAACAATAGGTCAGTGTGTTCTAACTAGTTTCTCAACACTTTAGGGTCAAGAGCATCTTTGGTACTTAGACAGTGGTTGCTCAAGACATATGACATGATCCAAGTCTCTCCTGGAAGACTATGTCAAGAAAATTGGTCCTGCAGTTACATACGGAGACAATGGAAGGTGGTTCACTAAAGGATATGGGCACATCAAATGCAACAATGTGGTGTTTCAGAATGTTTCATATGTAAAGGGGCTCAAACATAACCTTATCTCAATCAGTCAATTGTGTGATGCTGATTATGAAGTTCACTTTACAAAGAAGGAAGGAAGAGTCATCAACACTAACAAGAACATTGTACTCTCAGCAAGCAGAAAAGATGATATATATGTTCTCGAAATGATCTCAAGTGACAAGGCACTGACGCAATGTTTCTTTACCAAATCCCAAACCAATCTCAGCTGGATTTGGCACAAAAGGTTCTCACATTTGAATTTGAAGAATCTGTCTAAAATATCCAATCAAGATCTGGTCAGAGGTCTCCCAAAATTCAGTTTTGTCAAAGATAAGGTATGCTCAGCGTGTGAACAAGGAAAGCAAACAAAGTCTTCGTTAAAGCCCAAGTCATGTTCTAGCATATCTGTTCCTCTTCATTTACTTCACATGGACTTGTTTGGACCTATTCATGTTCGTTCCCTAGGAGGAAATAAGTATACTCTGGTGGTTGTGGATGAGTTTACTCGATTTACATGGGTGGTTTTCTTGAAGAAGAAAGGTCATGCTGCACAGGAAATTATCTTGTTGATTTGTCAAAATGAGACACTGACTGGTCTCAAAGTTAAGCAGATAAGGAGTGATCATGGCACTGAGTTCTGGAATTCAATTCTTGAATACTTTTGTGATTTTAAATGCATTGGGCAGAACTTTTCAGCTCCTCGCACACCTCAACAAAACAGAGTTGCTGAACGAAGAAATCGAACACTGATTGAAGCAGGAAGAACCTTGATGATACATGTTGGTCTTCCTATGTTGTTTTGGGCTGAAGCTGTTAATACAACATGTTATACTCAAAATCGATCTCTAATTCACAAAGTTCACAAGAAGACACCATATGAGATGCTGAAAGGTCGAAAGCCAGACGTATCTTTCTTTCACGTGTTTGGATGAGTTTGATATATTCTCAATCAGCGCGATCCCAGATCTAAATTTGAGCCTAAGGCTGACAAAGGTATTTTTGTTGGATACTCATCTATTTCAAAGGCTTTTCGTGTTTTTCATGTGAACAGGCAGTGCATTGAGGAATCCATTCATGTGAAGTTTGATGAAGAGTCATTCACTGATGAAAAAGTAGCTCATTCCTCTTCTATCTTTCATGAGCTGCTCTCTTGCCCATATGGTGAAGTTTATCACCCTGAAGAAGAAGCTATTATTCCTGATCCCATCGTTCTAGATCCCAGTTCTGTAAATCAAGGTACTGTGGTCAGCACGACAACTCATTTGTCCGATACTGATGAAACCCTTGAAGCTGAAGGTTCTCCTGCAACTGATGTTCCTCTCAGTAATAACACTTCAGTGTCAAATCCATTGGCATCAGTATCAGCTTCTGAACATCGAGATCACCCTGCTGATCAAATTATTGGGAATCTTCATGATGGTGTCCAAATATCTAATAATTTTTGCATGTATGTTAACTTTGTTTCAATGATCTTACCTGACAAGATACACTCAGCTCTTCAAGACGCTGACTGGATTAAAGCCATGCAAGATGAGCTGAATGAGTTCGAAAGGCACAAAGTTTGGACTCTTGTTCCCAGACCATCAGGAAAGACCATCACCGGAACACGCTGGGTCTATCGCAACAAGGTTGATAAAGATGGTATTATTACTCACAACAAAGCAAGACTTGTTGCTCAGGGGTTTACTCAAATTGAATCTATTGACTATGGGGAGACTTTCGCTCCAGTTGCCCGTATTGAAGCAATCAGACTGTTTCTCGCATATGCATCCTACATGAATTTCATTGTCTATCAGATGGATGTCAAAACAGCATTTCTTCATGGTGTGTTAGAAGTAGAAGTATTTCTCAGTCAGCCCCCAGGCTTTGTAGACAAAGATCACCCGGATTATGTGTACCGACTAGACAAAGCTGTTTATGGACTGAAGCAAGCTCCCAGGGCTTGGTATGAGACGCTGACATCGTATCTTCTTGAAAATGGATACCGACGAGGAGCAGTTAATAACACTCTTTTCATCAAAAACCAAGGCTCAGACATGATACTTGTTCAAATCTATGTCGATGATATCATCTTTGGCTCTCCAAGCGAGAAACTGAGCAAGGAATTCACTGAGATCATGTCTCAAAGATTCGAAATGAGCATGATGGGGAAGATGACCTTTTTCTTAGGTCTTGAGGTTCAACAACAAAAATCAGGTATTTCAATTTGTCAAAGTAAATATATTACTGACCTGCTTGTTAAGTACTCTCTCAGTGACTGCAAACCGGCCTCCACTCCGGTGTCCAAGACTGATAAGCTACATGTTGATCCCACTGGCACTGATGTAAATCACTCTCTTTATCGAGGAATGATTGGATCTCTTCTGTATCTCACCTCAAGTCGTCCTGATATTATGTTTGGAACCATTCTCTGTGCTCGATTCCAAGCTAATCCTAAGGAGTCTCATCTCATGACAGTCAAACACATTTTTCGATACTTAAAGGGCACTCAGAATTTGGCACTGTGGTATCCTCGTGACTCATCATTTGAACTTTTCGGATACACTGATTCAGACTATGCAGGATGCAACTTAGACAAGAAGAGTACGTCAGGTGGATGTCATTTCCTTGGAAATCGTCTTATCAACTGGTCTAGCAAGAAGCAAACATCAGTAGCTATCTCGACAGTAGAAGCTGAGTATGTTGCAGCTGGAAGATGTTGTGCTCAGCTCTTATGGATTCAGAATCAACTTCTAGATTATGGGATCAAATTCACAAAGACTCCCATATACTGTGATAACACCAGTGCCATTCAGATCACACAAAACCCTGTTCAGCACTCAAAGACAAAGCATATCGAGATCAGACATCACTTCATCAGAGATACTGTTGAGAAGGGCAAGGTTGTTCTTGAACATGTCAAGACTTCAGATCAACTAGCTGATATTTTCACCAAGGCCCTGGATACTCAAACAACTGCTCATATTATTGGAGAACTTGGAATGATTTCTCTGTAATAATAAAAATTAAAAAATAAAAAAAAAAATTTAAAAAATTGTTTTGCTAATGTTTGCTATTGTCTTATAAACTGATGGACATTTTGCTGATGATGATATGCTGATAATATTTTCATGCTGAGTACTTGGTTTGATCTCTTATCTCTATCTCTTCTTCAAATCTTCTAAACTAAAGTTGAATTATTCACTGTATTAAACCATACACTGATAACGACTTGAAACTCTTTGCCGATGGTTAGATCAAAGCACCAAGGTCTATCACACGCAACTTTCTCTTCTTACCAATCTTACACTGATTCTGTGATTTAGTGTGACAAAACACACGCTGATGAGAGTCTAACAGTCTTTGCTGATGGTTCGACCAAAAACACCACGGTCTATCACACGCAACAATCCTCTCTTTACCTTTTTCTCACTCAGTGTCTAATGATTCAGTAAGACGAACCACTCACTGATAAAGACACAACACTCTGTGCCGATGGTTAGATAATTAAACTAGTATCTATCACACGCACCAATCACCTTGCTAACCTTAATCAAGAAAGTTGTACCTTGAATTGATGGCAAACTATCTTTCAGCATGAAATTTTCGTGACACTGATCTCAGCGCTTCCGCAGACACTGATTGCCGTTTCATCTTCAGTTCAACGGCTCTTTTTACCCAACGGCTATTTTTCTGATTTGACAGTTTGTTACGATACGCAATTATTTTTGAAGAAGATAATCATTACCTTTTAAAAACCCGTTTTGTCCCATATTTAAACCTCTTTCCACCTCTCTTTCAAACCTTCCTTCCATTATTCAAATTTCCTTCGTTTCTTTTCAAAACCCTATAATCCAAACCTTCTTCAATGGCGGCATCCTAATTCACCTTCTCCTCCACTTCACGAAGAGTAATCCCTGCTCCAAACTCTCCTTCTCTTCCTATATACATCAAAGCCACTAATGTCGTTTTCAACCCCGACATACCAGATGTTCATCGAGGTCTTGGATTAGATGATTTTGTTAACTTTCTAGCCTCGTGTAGACTTCGATATACTATCAGTGAGGTTCCATCAGAGTTCTTTCCAGAACAAATATGTGATTTCTACTACTCTGCATCAGTCAATAACGACAACAACGTCACCTCCGGCACCGTTGGGCGTGGCCGTCATTCAGTATTCATTACTGCTGATCTTTTCAGTGCTGCACTCAGGTTGCCAATTTTTGAACCTTTTTCTGAGCTTCCATCCATTGAACGCTATCGATGCCTTTTTGATCAATTGGGATACGATCACTCCAAGGCTGGTGCTAGATCAAATCTTATTCTGCGTCAGTGTATGACTCCAGGCTGGAAGTTCTTCACCGGAGCACTTTGCAAGTGCGTGGGCCACAAATCTCATAGTGGTGATCAACTGAGTGCCTTTGAGCAACAAGTGGTATGTTCTCTTCTTCTCAACAAACGGCTTGATTATGGGGCCTTCTTCTTTGATCAGCTCGTTCAACTTCTTCGTACCAATGTATGAGCTGATCATGTTCCTTTTCCTCGCTGGATTGCTCTTGTTCTGGACAAATTTTTCGCTGAAGCTTACTACTCACACTATGGAAACCCCACCCCATGCCCACGGATGTCAGTTCGAATGTACCAGGATGATCCTCTAGCCAATGACATCGGCATCTCTGATCAGATGCGAGAGTGGATCGCACATCCATATACTGTTCCATCATTGGACGCTGACATTGACGAAGGAGTTGATGATATTCACGACACTAATGCTGATATCCAAGTTGATCCTAGTCCAAGAGGTGGTCAAATCTCTCCTCAGCTTTCTCACCATACCATTTCTGTCACTGAAAAGATTCATTCGGCTCATGGGGAGCCATCTGATAATAGGGAGCCCTCTGCTCAGGGGGAGCACCCTTCTCAGAGGGAGCAGCATCGATCACAAAAGCTTCCAGGTACTCATCTCATTCAAATCCCAACCTCAGCCTTTAATGAGCTTCTTACACTGACTCGAGACATGAGTCAGTGTCTCCTTCGTATTGAAGCTGATGTTCAACAAATGAAAGGAGTTATTCTGTCAACTCCTACCCCTGGCCCAAATGATGATGATGCTTAAAAAGGGGGAGAAACATATTCTGTGAAGAATGTATCTGAGGGGAACGTGCTGAAACAGACCGAGCCACCACAACCTGTGCACAAGTCTGAGAAACAAACAGAAGCTGAAACTGAAAAATATACTGATGAAAGACCCTGTATAGTGGTTTGGTCTAGGTATAGTAGTTAATAGCAGTAGGGGTGTGATTGTAATTGTTTTGTTTGTAGTTTACGGTCAGACTGAGTTTACGGCCGTAAACTCTGTACGGTCGTGATTATTTGTCTAGCCTATAAATAGGGGTTGTTTAGTCATTATTGGTTGTTGATTTTTCGTATTCTTCCGAGTTGTATCAGACGTTTTATAGTATTAAAGTGTATGCAAGCTTGGTATTTCGTTCTATACTTGCTTATTATTTCGTGTTTGCTTCTGTGATTATCTTTGATCATTGGTAGATCTGTTTTCGGGACTTTACAATTGGTATCAGAGCTATACCAGTGTCAAAGGCGTTTCACAGCAGCATAGAGGGATTTATTCCAGTCGAAATCAAAGGTTCTCGAAGTTTACGGCCTGAGTTTACGGCTGTAAAATCTTCTTCACGGCCACAAGTGCATTCTTCGAAAACGATTGTCATACACATCATTCAAGCTTTCGTGATCACATACTGATTCTGGCATTTAATTGAGTCGTTTTTAATATAAAAATTGAATTTTTTAATTAACTTTCATTGACCGTAAACACGAGCATTCACGAAAAAACGATTTTCTGTTAAACGATAATTACACCATTTTTTGAGTTTAAAATCAAAAGGTATAATTGGACCGTAAACTCGAGTTTACGGCCTACGAGTTTACGGCCTTGGTTTACGGCTAAGTCAGTTAATTTAAGATAGTTGAAATTACCTCTTGAATTAAAAAAAAAAAAAATCAAAAAAATCAAAAAAAAAATATATATATATATATATATATATATATATATATATATATATATATATATATATATATATAAATCCTGACCGTAAACTCCAGTTTACGATGTAAAAATAGTTTACGGCCGTGTGTTTACGGCCTGGAAATTTTACAGTAAAATAAATTTACAGCCTTTAAAATAAAAAATAATAATAATAAAAAAAATATTTTTTAAAATGGATTCACAAAACTCAACTCAATACCAAGAACTTGATGTTGTGATGGGTACAACTACGCGCATTCCAAGACTTATGTCCGCTGATGGTTTCCCCGAGTGGAAATATAGAATTGAAAAGTATATAAAGATGAAGGACTTTAAGATTTGGAAATGTGTTTTAAAGGATCCAGTCAGAATCACCACTGTAATTGGGGGCAATGTGGTCGACAAGAAAATCGAAAACTACACTGATGAAGACTTTGAGAGTATAGAAGAACAAGAAAAGGCATTAGCCATTTTGACTATGGCCTTATCGCCAGACATTGCTCAAGGATTCAGAGAGTATACTTCTGCTAAAGCACTGTGGGAAGCTCTCATTAAAGTATATGAGGGAAATGAAGACATGCAAGAAAGTCGCCAAGATATGCTGAGACAACGCTTCAACATGTTTAATTATGTTCCCGGAGAGACTCTCGAAGCTCAGCTGCAACGATTCACAACTCTCAACACAGAGATGACTGTGGCAGGGATATTCTATACAAAGTCAGAAATCAATAAGAAGCTACTAAATGCACTCCCAAAATCCTGGGACATGAACGTAGCAGTGATTAAGAAGACTAAGGATCTCAATCGCCTTTCCCTAGCTGAAGTGATGGCTGTCATCAAAGCGTGTGATATTGATGACAAGCAGCGAGATATCAATCATGTGAACTCCTACTCAGCTGCAAATCTTAGGATTTCAACTAATAATGCTCTCTCTTCTTTCTCTTATACTTCTGCAGGTTCAACTACCCCTTGCCCACAAGTCCAACCTCTCATGTCTACTCAAACTGTTCCATCCTCAAATATGGCCTCCTCATCAAAGGGGAACGAGGGTGATGAAAACCTTGTCTTTGCTGCAGGGCTTGTAAATTGCTACAATGCTCTTGTAGCTGGAGAACTTCCACCTCAATTGTCATTTGCAGATGTTGATCAAATCCATCCTGAGGACGTTGAGGAAATGGACATCACATGGCAAATTGCCATGGCTGTATTTAGGGCAAAACAGTTTGCCAAAAAGACAGGGAAAAACAATTGGGGCATGAGCGCTGACAAGAAGGTTGGATTCAATAAAGGAAAGCTTCGATGTTTCAATTGCCACGAACCAGGGCATTTTGCTCGTGACTGCCCACACCCTGATAGAAGGGTCAATAATGACAGAATGATGGTTGCAGTTGGGAACAACCGAAGCAGTGGTCAAGCAAATAATGAAAAGGCTATGGTTGCACATTCATTTGACTGGGATGATCAAATACAAGCTCTAAATTTGTCTGGACCAAACAATGCTCATCTAGCACAAGTGAAGGATGATGCTCAAGCAGGGACTGCAGAAGCTGAAGACAATATGATGAAGCTGCAATTTGGCTTGATGGTATCTTCTTCACATGAACCACATTCGTCCAAGGTAAGTCCTCTATAGTGCTCTAAAGCTTGTGCAGATTATGTGAAAACTTTACATTATAAAATTGAGACATTAGGAAATGAAGTAGAAAATCTTAGGATTCTTCGTGAACTCAATGACAAATTAATAAGAGACGTAGAAGATCTTAGATATGAAGGGTACCGACTTCGAAAGGGACAAAAACCACTTAAAGCTCAACTAGAATAAAAAATTAAAGACTTTAGGAAACTTCAGGAAGACTACAGCAATAAATGTGAAAACTTTGATTATATGGTCAAACAAAACGCTGAACTGGTTGCTGAAGTTGAATCCTTGAAAGGAAAATTTGAGATTGCCAAACTTGACGTTAGAAAATATGATCTCTCAAGTGAGGTGGTTGCAAATATGATAGACCAAAGTATGCAGTTTAAAAGGAATCAGTCAAAAGGTCTAGGGTATAATCATGTACCCCCTCCTTTCAATCATTCATACGAGTCCAAGCCCCTGTCCAAAGAAGAGATTGCCAATGAATCATTCATGATTTATGGCAAGCCCTCCGGTTTTATTTCGGGAGGATTTATTAATGTTGAAAGTACTAACATTTCTACTTCTCCTGCAGATCAATCCTTGAATCAGTCAAAGCACAAAGTTGAAGGATGTGTTTCTGAAAATAAAACCGAGTTCAAACCTGAAGATTTCATTTTAAATAAAGACAATTCTGTGTTAAATGTTTTAAGTGACAATATCTCTTGTGATGTTTTTAATTGTTCTGATACATTAGTTGCTACCTCTGATACAGTTTTGAATGTTTTTAATATTTTGGATAAATCTGTGAACAGTTTGGTTGACAATTTGAATGTCTGTGATAAAAATGTTAAGATACCACTAGTTCCACAACCCTCAATAAATATAGCACCCTCACTTGCCTCACAACCTAATAACAGTGCATGTTTCTGTGAGCCAAGAAAGGGTGTTTGTAGGGAAAACAAATCTGATACAGGCATCACAAGTTCTAACAATAACAATCAGATCTATTTTAATTGTGGAACTAAGGGCCATATTGCTAGAAATTGTCTTAATCGAATGTTTGTGAGTCATAATCTTCCAAGAGGAGAGAACGAGTTCAGAGGAAGATCTTTAAATAGAAATTCCTCTAGAAATCGCTCTAGAAATGATGGTTGGGTAGATAAAAGAAATAAAAAAGGAGATATTTTTCACAGACATAAAAGGTTTTTTAATCACTTTGTCCCAAACAGTCTGCCAAAGAAGAGCATAGTCTCACCTAGATCCAGCTCATCCCAAAGCAATAGTGAATCTTCAACCAATTCTGGTAGAAGTAACACATGCTTCAAGCAGATTGTTAGACATAAAATGACAAAGTTGATTGAATTTTTCAAAAAACCTAATTATAAATGGAAACCCAAATCTACTCCCAATGCATCATCTGTATCCTCAGTGAAGTTCATGTGTAATAAATCTGAAAAGGCATCGGGATCACCCAGGAAGATCATGACCTGGGTGCCCAAATCTAATTAAACCCGCACATTTTGCAGGGGCAGTTGCGGGGAAATGTCGTCAGACCATGGTTCGTCGATAGCGGCTGTTCCCGGCACATGACAGGAGACATCACCCAATTGAACAACATTCAATCATTTGATGGGGGATACGTCTCTTTTGCGGGTGGAGATGGAGGAAAAATTACACAAAAGGGCACGGTGTCAAATGGACATCTGAGTTTTGAAAATGTGAATTTCGCTCCAGAGTTAAAACACAGCTTGCTAAGTGTCTCGCAGATCTGTGATAAGGGCTATTCTACGCATTTCACTGACAACAAATGCATGATCTTAAAGCCAGGCTTTGTCATCCCTGAAGAATGGATTCTCGT